GCGGCGCCGCCCGCCGGGCGCTCTAGCTCGAGCCCTCCGTCGGAGGCCGCTCTCGCTCGCCGACTCGCGCCAGGCGGGGCCCCACGGGGGTGCCCCCGAGGGAACACAGGGCGCCGACCAAGTCCGGTTTTCTGGTGAACCGCGGCTGCGGTTTCTGCGTCAGTGGACGCCCGAAACGGGTGGCTGTTACCCTGAAACGTCACTCGTTATCCGCAGTGACCTTTAGCTGGACGCTGCCCTGCATTGTAATCTGCTCAGAGCCTTTTCGGGGCCCCAAAGCCCAGCCCAGACCTCGCGAGCACTTCGAGGCACCCAGGCCTGGCCGACGCGGCGCTTCGGGGGGGGGGGGGCTCTGACCGGGCTGCCTCCAGCCCCGGGAGGGCGGGTTTGGGGGCCTCAGGCTCCGCAGCCACCCCAAGCCCCTCCGGCAGGGGGCAGTGTCTGGGGAGGGGCATGCGTGGGCTTGGGGTCATACAGAAGTGGGCCTGACACCCCAGTTCAGACGCTGATTTGCCCTCGACCGTGCATGGTCCGGCGAAGCCTTAACCTCCTCATTTATAACCAGGGATCACACCCAGTTAAACCTGGTGGCACAGGGGTGACTCGGTGTTGGGAAACCCACAGGGATTACAGTTGAGTTGAAAAAAAAAAATGTACAAAATGATATAAAAATAAACTACTGTATTATATAAAAATAATAATAAATTATGTTAAAAAAAAACCTGGTGGCAGGGGCCTCCCTGGGGACGCAGGGTCAGTCTCAGCACAGTGAAGTCAGCTGGGCCCCTGCAGCACAGCCCACGCCCCAGGGGGGAGGGGCCCCAGGGTGCCGCAGACCCTCCTGTCTCCCTGCTGCCTCTCAGCAGTGTCCTTCAGCAGATCCGCTGCCCTGCTCCCCACTCTGTCTCTGGTGACTCCTCTCACGTCTGCACCTCTGGCCGGCACCCTTGTTCTGTGTGCGTACATAAGCAAAATATGTTTTAATAACAAGTAAGCCAGGTGGCAGACAGATGCCCCAAGCCCGGGAGAGCCGGTACAGTGAAAGAGACCAAAGTCAACAAGCATTGGGGCAAGCGGCTGCTGACAGATGTAGACCAACTAACGATGGAAAGAGAAGGGGTGACTCATCCTGTACAGCACCCCAAGCCCCTGGGGAGCGCCATGAGAAGTCTCATCGTGGGCAAGATGAGCGAGGGGACTGAAAACGGTGGGCGGAAGGCCACTGTCAAGCTGCGGACAGTGACCCTCACCTTGCCCACGGGCCCCTGGGCTCACCCTCAGCAGGAAGCAGGAGGATTTTCCACTGCAGAAACTGACCAGCTGCAGAGAAAGAAACCTGCCCCCGGCCCCGAAAACCCTGCCCCAGCCCCCCGAAAGCCTCCCCCCAGACCTGTGTCTGCTGGAAAGCCTGCCTTCAGCAGGTTCCCCCAAAAAGCACCCAGTGACGTTGCAGGGTCACGCGCACCGCCAGGGACTGGCAGCCGCAGCCCAGGGCGCGAGGGCAGAGGCACATCGGGCAGGTCCAGACCTGCGGCCGGAGAGCAGGGCCGGCGCCGGGCCAGAGGCCGAGCGGCGGTCTGGGGCCAGGCACGGGCGCCCCGCATCAGCAAGGGCCACTTACTGCGCCAGGAAACAGACTTCTAAAAAGACTTATTAACTATGCACACAAGAGCTGGGGGGCAGGCTAGAGGTGGGGCGAGAGGAGGCCCCAGAGACAGAGCGGGGCGCAGAGCAGGCGGGTCCCCCGAGACCCTCTGCTGCAGGGGCTGCGGGCAGCTTCATAGTTACCTGAGACTCGGCCCCTGCACCGCCAGGGAGGCCCCAGGAACAGGCCTGGACAGTGGCACCTCACAGGACAGCGGAGTTCTGGGCTGTACTGCGGCGCTACCTGGGAGGGAGGCGCTGGCCGGGCCGGAGTGGCTTCTAGCAGCACACCCGGCTCCCGGCTCCCAGCTCAGGGCGCTGGGAGGGGCCCGCCGTGCCTTCGGGGGGCCCTGCACGGCCCTGCCTTGCCTCCCAGCACCGGGGGCTGTGGCTGCTGGCCCCTGCCTCCAGCTGCCACGCACGCGCCCAGCCCCGTGATGCGGGGGGCACCCCACAGAGCCTGGGGTGATCGGGCGCTGGCTGCGCGGGGCTCCGGGATCCCCCACAGTGCAGGTTCCCGGTGAGAGGGTGGAGGCGTGGGGGCCTGGGCCAGAGGCCGGGGTGCTGCCAAGCCCCACAGACACGGGGTGGGCCAAGGTTGGGGACAGG